CAAAGTCCTGCCAAGAGGCTAGCTCTCCCCACATTAAATGCAGCAGTCTCGTTAAGTCGGACGATCGGTTTCCCGGTACATCCTCGAATCCGTCTGTCTTGGTGCACAGGAGGAACGAGGGGCGACGCAAAGGGGACCGAGAGAGGTGGAGTTGGCAGGGGCTGAAAGCGAGAGCAATTTGGTGGAGAAGTCGGCGAGGGCGGTGGGCCCTGGCGCTGACATCTCATTTGACTCCGGCGAGTAGGCTATTTTATTTAATCCGTGATTTACGGACGCGAGCGAGCTGGCCTCGAGGCATCCCGTGTCGGAGGGCCGCGGCACCGGGGCCCATCTAACGCGTATAAAAGAGAAGATGCCCCGAAGATAAGTCCCCGAAGAGAGGGAGGGCCGAGCGAGATGCATAACTTAACCCTGAGCTCGCGCTACGTACGGAGAATTTAATCTCTGCTCGAGCGTGTCCTCCGCGCCAGCGCTCGCGCGACCGACCGTCCTCTTTCTTACTCTTTTTCGCTTGAATAAAATAAATAAATAGGACGCGTTCGAAATATGTCCTCCGTCCGGCTGATATATACAGGGTGTCATGTAGCCGGTGATACAATCGAAAAAATTCAGATTCTTCCAGGGTAAAACATTATTTCCGCTGAGAAATGGCAGTTTTTCTAATTTTTATTTAATTCATTAATAATGTTTACAAATTGAAAAAAAGAATCAATTTGTAATCTTAATTTTTTTTCAATTGTATCATCAATTAAATGACACCCTGTATATAGAACGGACTACCTTTTCAACTGGAATTCCCAGGGATGCTCGGCAACCTTCCGCGCGCTTTTGTTGTTCCGCCCGTTCCCTCTCTCATCTCTCCTCGCCAGCGTGTTTCTTCGGCAAGATCGAGAATTCCTGACTAGCGCGAGATACTTCACGGCTACAACCCTCGCCCTGAGCGTTCCTCGTGAAATAAGCGCGAGCGGTGACATGCGGCGAGTACGGGCACACGGAATTCCGGGCCTCTTTCTGACTTATCGGAAGGAATTCCAGCGCGTCGACTCAGTTGCTAAGAAGGGAAGATGTTGACGGGAAGCGTATCTGTGCGAGGGCGAGTAATCTATTGGGTAATTGATCAATCGGGTGATTTAGTGGCGGTTGGATCGTATCGACGCGATCTCTGATCGTCTAGCAGTTAAGAAGCTTGATATGTTATTTGTGAATGTGAATTGTACATCGCTGCTATTGTGGTATTTGTAATAAATTAAGAAACTAATTAAATTTGTCAAGTGAGAAAACAATTACTGGAAGAATACTAGAATTAAGAAAAATAAATTTCTTAAGTAATCAGTTAGAAATTTGTTATGATAGAAAGACCTATTAGCAATGATTTTTCTTTTAAACTAACAATGGAAATTGTATACTGAAGAATTAAAGCGTTCGATATTTCACTACGATGTAGCACACCATCGAAGGTTCTTTCCTTCTCAACGCTTCATCGCCCATCGATCCTTATTAACGCCTCAACTACCCCCTACGAGCAGTAAATTGCACGCGAATCATCCACGTAGGAAGCATCAAGCACCGGGACAACGGGTCGAATAAATCAGAGGAGCAGAGACGAGTGGTCTCGACCACGTACAGGTTAATCGAGAGCAAAGGTCCCGTGATCTAGATGTGGAAAGCACGCGTCGTGGACACCTTTCATCATCGTCATCATCGCGAAGCGCATCATCTCGTACGGTTATCGTCCAGCCATCCATCGATCGAGCGGGACCACCTGTTCTCCGTTGTGTTGGTGTAGAGATCGCACCACTTCAACTGAACGTGGACAGGCCGATGTGTGCACACCGATTGGTAAGCGGCTGATGACCTAGCCACGATCAGGCCATCACGTCCACGGCTTGCTGCGGCCATCCCTCGACTCGCTCCATATAATTTGGAGCGCTCACGTGACCCTGGAACGACCAGGGTCAACGCAACATTTGTAATCTTCGAGACGCCGGCGCGACCTGTTCGCACGTTGTTCTCTCGTTGCCCGCCGCTCCGCTCCGCGTCAGCTAGACGACAACGACGTCGGTCACGACCAGACGACGACGACGACGACGACGATGTTCTAGGAACGCCTCGTTCAGCTCCTACGATCTTGGCCAATTGTCTAGCTATTTTGATCCTTGGGAATGGACACTTTGAACGGTGAACCGATCTTTCGTTGGATGTTTTTACTCGTTTTCGAAAGTGCTATGTAAATTACAGTATTTGAAAAATTTGAAAATAGAAGAAATGTAAATTCTTTCTATAGAAATATTTTCGAGAAAATACGCTGACTCGATTTAAGTAGTTCCACGATAAAAGCAAGAACGTACGCGTTACAAGGATCTCCACGTTTTTATTCCAAGCAGATCAGAGGCTCGCAAGAAACTGCAAGGTAGAAACATAAAATGCATGCAAATAAATTGCACTGTACTTTATGTCTTCAACTAGCAGAGTGAATCATAGAAAGAAGGTCATGACGCGCTACAACGACGTTTCTAAACACTATGTTGCATTCCAGAATCAAGGGGAAGAGCATCGTCAAATAGATCATCGGTTGCAGCAGATGCTTCATTTCACTTTTTCCCCTTAAGTTTCACTGACATAATGAAATTACATAACTTTAGATTCACTACGGTCTCGAGGAGATATGGCCTCTATACGTATTGCCTAAGTGTAAATCACTCTTATCTGTTAACTTGGAATTTATGAAATATAGTCGATCAAGAAGTAGTCATATAGAATAACAGAAAATTTAGTGTTGTAAAAAAAGAAATTAAGAAAGAAATATAATTATAAGTATTAATATTACTATCGACCGGTTTAGAGTTCATAGATAAAATTGCAACTTTCAACGCTCTATACTCTATAAGATAATATTTCGAGAGTTCGACAACGTTAACAAGACGGTTGATACGGTATCAAGGAGGTATCACAGGTGGAAATTACGGTACCGAAGCTTAGGTATCGATGATGCATTGCCAGGCAGGCCGTAGCCGAGCGTACCGTTTCTCGGCTATGCTTTACGAGGAAAAAGTTAAAAATGCTGATTTACACTGGCGACGAGTGAATTAAAATACAAGTTGCCGATCGGGCTGGCGTAGGCGTGCAATCCGATATCGATCTCTTCGCGCGTATAACGAGTCGCTCGCGAAACGAGCGGGCAAAGTTGGACGGGCGACGAGACGCGGCTCTGTTCGCGTACGACTATTAAACGTAAACATCTGGTGGCTCGAAATGTTCGGTCATTTGCGTAAATCACGATGATAAATAATAATCTACGCTCTTTAAGTAAGTTCTAGGCAATAATTTAGATCCGCGGCGTAGTTCGAAGAAAGAACCTGTACAATGGATGAACCGTTGTAAGGAAGATCAAAGGTTATATAATCCCTCTACGTGTCTTGTGGGAACACGATTCATCTCCGTTGCAATCGTAATGCTCGCCGGCGCGGTCGGCTACGCCGTGGCTCGCCATGCTTCTGCTTAAAATTCATAATAAACTGCACGCCTATCCGGCATAAAATGCTTCAAATTAATTGCAGCTGACTACGGCTATCGGACGGTCCACCGCCTCCATCCAACCTTGCTACCACGCTTGTACCGTTGACACAGAAACAGTAAACGCGAAATCGAACTACGATATTGTACAATTATTTTGTATGCCAGATCGTTATCTACTGACATGTTAAAATTCATTAAAATGAGAATAGTTAAGTTGGGAACTTCTCCTTATAAGTTGGAATAGGTAAAAATGATGAAGTGATGATAATTTTGGAACGTTAGTTGCTGCCGTGGTTCTATCTAAATCATGCCAAGCCTATTTCAAACTCTAAGAAAATCGGCAAGAATAGGTCGAAAGTGATCAAAATGGGCTCTAACTTTTCTAAATAGTTAACCCCTTCTGCTATGATTTTTTCGACAGATTCGTCAGTCAGAGCTAACTGTTCATTGCTTGAATTTAAAATAAAAATTTAAAAAATTGAAATATTAAGCATACATGGTAAATTAGAATTAGGATTCAAGCATACTAAAAGTACATATCAGCTAAATTTGCCACGTTTGAACTGTAAGTTGCGTCGTGAGTGTCATTCGGTATTACGCGGCAAAGGGTTAAGGGTAGCGGAAAATCGTATGGAACAGCACCGAAAAGCAGCACTGTCCAAGAAGAAGAGTATCGTACGGTGTCGTACATTGCCGCAAACATAATTGCGCAGTCGGCCATCCAGCGAGTGCAGTTCACGAGGGAACAAAAGGAAGAGGCAGCGGAGACGCGCACGAGAGCCGGGTAAACACAATGCATTACGATGCACCGTGGCACGGTCTCGGCGAGCAAGGAACACGCGAGTGGCAAGAGCGGTGGTCGTCCTTTCTACGTCCCTCATGCATGCACGACGTCCACGGCGAGCAGTGTCGTAACTTACGTGGCAGATGGCGATCCTCGCGGTCCCGCGAGCTAGGCACCCAACGGAGATTAGATCGATTTTTCACGGTTGCCAAGAAAATCGCTCGCGAGAACGCGGCTAACAAGCAAGCTGATGCAAATCTCGCGGATAATACGCGAGCGGTCTGGATGAAACGCAGCAGAGCTAGGCGTCCTCCTCAACTAGATCCGGTGTCCGGCTTAATCACTGCAACCACTCTCGGACGCGACACGCTCGTAGAACGCGGAGAACGCGAACCTTGCTAATGCGTTCGCGCAATTAATTATGCGAAATTTACGAGTGCGCTTCGCAGGCAAGCGGTCGCACGGGATAACAGGGCGGTCTTGCGCTAATATTTCACCGAGCTCGCTTATCGTTGACTCGCTCGACTGCCGGATATCGGACGATTTATGGAAACCAGCCACCGTTTGCAACATTACTCACCCGTGACTTTACGGGGTAGAAAAAGGGGGTTCGATAATGAAACGACAGAATGGTGGCATTTTGGGCTGCTTTGGTCAAATGCCAAGCCCATTGCTTGAAAATATTAAATAACGCACTCACCCTTTTCTGCAACATTCTTTGGGTAATAGTCCATATAACATTGCTGCTCCCTTATCGTCAGTCATCTGCAATATTTAATTTTGTATTATTTAAAAAAATTGAAACTATTATAATAAAATTATAGAATTAAATTTCATCGAAGCACGTTAAATCGTCGCTACTTTATCGCTGATAAAATCGGCGAAAAAAAATTGATACGCTCCGCAAAATCCGTATCGATCGTCATAATCTCGCGTGGATCGAAAGGCGGGAGGCGAGCACGGTGATCGATAAATCAACGAGAGTGCTGGCAAATGTTCGCATCGGTGAGGGCGTACGTACCCATACAACTTTCCAGCTGCTTTATATGAATCGATTCGGATCGTTGGTCGAAAGAAGAGCTCGTAAAGTCGTGGCTCACGGCCAACGATACGAATCTGGCTCGATGTAATATTTAGCCGATCGCCGCTGCCCATATGCCGCCGACGGGACCGGAGAAATGTATCAAGGAATAATAGCCAGGAAATCGTCCGTTCAGCTAATCGTAAATTTAGCACCGACACCACGCTTCGAACGGGATGCGGAAGATTGATCGCGCTTGTCTCTCGGGAGGAAGACGTTAACGATGCACCGGAATGCCTTTTGCGTGGCGCATACTATTTACGACGTGATTCTATTCGCGAATCTATTGGTTGTTGACTTTAGAAATTTTATCATTCGTCTGATATTTATTGTATTATTATTTTATATATTTCATAAGTTCTTAAAGAGTGGAGTAGGATTAATTATAATTCAGATTTTACACTAATTATTACTAATTTTTTTCATACTTTTTGAAAATAAAATAGATAGGGATGCGCTATGATCGATGCAATTTTTGCCCAAATGTACAGGCGAAGATACTAGTCCCGATCTCGACGATCGATCACTCGACGGGCGTCGCGACGTTTGATCGCGAATGCAGGGATCTGGCGCACGTGCGCATGCGCAATTTATTACGCGATAAACAAGCCAGTGGCCAGGGTATAGGTATGCCGGAGGTAAAGGGTCCGCGTCGAGCTGGTAGCTGACCGCTCCCGGGAAGCGGTCGCGTTTGGCGCGATCGCGGAGGAGCCTGGCCGGTGTCGCGGCAAGATCGCGTCAGATCGAGGCCGCCGCGTCGAGAAAAACTAGTAGCGGTCCCATAGATCTGTCGATCCGAGCTGACTACGTCCACCGCGTACTGTCTTCCCCCTTTTTTCCCGAAAGGATCGCTCGTTGCCAGCTACCACTCGCTCGCCGCCGGTTAACCGCGGCTCTCCCGTTCTTTCCTGTCGCCTCGCGCCGCGAACTCGCGAGCAAACAATCCCTCTTCTCCTCTCCACGCGATCGCTTCTCTGCAGCCGGCTAATAAGCCGCTACCTTCGGACATTAAAGCTCGTATTACACGCCGGTCCCGTCGGTAATTGGACGCGTATTCAACCGGCCGGCGCAAGTAACACTGGATCTACCATCTCTTCCGAGTACAGCAGATCGCTCGATGCCTTCTTAATGAAAGGACACAGGAAGGATGCGGTACGCTACTCATGCTCGACCGGAGACCGCGAACCTTGCGCATCGACGCCGAGAACAGGGCGCCTTAGCGTTGGGTGAAATGCCCTCGATTGCTTCGAGATTGTTTATTGGGTGTTTAGAGGTTTTCTTTGATGAATATGTTACCGATCATGTATAGAATGCCTGGCGTTTTTGGGCAAAATATGAAATATCCGAAATATTTTAATATTATATGAACTTTTCCTAAGGAATGTACAGATTTTGTAAAATAATTATTGTAAAAATTAGTAAAATAAGAAAGAATCCTAAATAGTCTTTGATTTTAAATTATAATTTTGGGAAAAATTAATGCCTGCTTTTCATACGTTGTCAATAACAAATAATTGAAAATAAAGAATTTTCAAAATTGAACTAATCTGGTATTTGAAATTTCTGTAAATCAATAAGTGTCTTTATATACAACACTTTCTGTTGGATTAAGTTCTTTATTCGAACACGTGTTGAGAAATTGAAACTTTAATCGAATGACAATCCTCTGGAATTAACACGGTTCGGTTTGTCACGCTTGATTAAAGTAAAGAGGCAAGTGCTAATTTCTCGCCGAAATAAGACTACGGTATGCAAGAACCACACAGAAGCAATCAAACGAAGGAATGATACGCGACAGGCTCGATTAATTTTCCCCGAGACGCCGGCGTACATCGGTACGATAGAATCGTCCCCGATAAAAAGCAATAACAGCGTCTGGCAGCGCGTGAATTTCTCTCGCACGTAACCGCGCCGATGGCCGCTTTCGCAAACCGAGCGCGTTTTTGGCCGTTTGCTTCCTCCGAAACAGCGAGACTTTTTTAATGGAGGCATATAAATCGACCGATAATCCAGCGGACGGATTTCCATGTGGCATGCAAATGAGTCGGGCGAGTTTTTTTTTTCCTTTCTTTTTTATTCCGCCAGGATACGTATAAAATCTTCTTAATGGTATAATTTCGCTATTAATCTCCGCGCTGCCTCGTCCCGCGCGAGGACAGTTTCACCGTACGGGTGAACTTTGCACGCGTGTGCGGCTCGATTCAGAACCGGATGACCACGTACGTGTACCGGATCGAAGCTGAAAACACGGGTTGTAACAGAGGCTAATTATACGCGATTCGGTCGCGATTTAGCGCCGTTATTCCGCCATCAATTTCGACCTTATCCGAAACAGTCCACGGCCCCTGCGAAGAGACCGAGGACACTGGGATCCATCAGGCGAGCCTCGAGTTTTACGATCGACCAGTCCCAATATCGCACCGACACGAGAATAAATAATTCGATTTCGAAACCAGCGCGGATCGTCTCCGCTTCGAACGGCCGCCTCTTGAACCAGTGTCCAGAGATGGAGACACGAGAAACTCTTCTTGCCGCTTGTCTTTTTCCTTCGCCTCGTTATAATGAACTTACGAAAAGGACGAACGGTCGGAGAAAAGGAGAGCTTCTGATTCTTTGATCGTTCGACGTTCAGGGGATATTTCATGAGCACACGTGTTAGGTCGTCCGGCATTTTATTCTTAATACTCTAACGACCATACATTCCATAGAAAGTAAAACTAATTATAAATTTATATCTCACAGCTGCTGATTCTGGGGTTGGAATTTCATAAATCTAATCTTGTTAATAGTTTGAAAAATAAATTTAATATTAGAAGTAAGGCAATTATTTCATCAAGTTTGTTAGGAATGAACCACAAAATGGAGTCTTTTACTCCTGTAGTAATTGATTATAAATTATGAAAATACATTATGGGGTTGAAATTAAAAAAATCTAAGGGAAGGGATTTAATCATCCGAAGAATTCGTGCACCGCGAAATGACCATAAATTGAATCGTAATTCGTATATTATACGGTATAAGTATGAGATACGTGCGAAGAATAATAACGTAAGATTCCACGAAGTCACGAATGCGTAACACTGGTCGTCAAAGTGTTAATAACAATAAAGCATGTTCCTGTAAGGAGTAAAGTAAGCGAGGACCACCGCGAAGAGCGCTCTCGTAAGATCTCGAGGACGATCATCGAGACCGTCATTGAATTGCCAACAGTTAGCGATAGCCCGGGATCGTAACCAGTTGTACGTTTACCGTAATCAAGTCCACGAAGTTCGGTCTCGATTTCGCGCCGTTATTTCGCCATCAATTCGATCCCTTATATCCGAAACAGCAAACCTTCGAGCGGGTAACGAGCGACACCGGTCTTTAAGGATCCTGTCGCGCGCGAATCGCGCGAGTTTTACGAGCTTCGTCGCCCGCGACCAACAGCAGGGAATAAAATCGCGATTCGAACGCGATCTCTTCTGGTAGAGAAGGAAAGGACCGGGGTTCGCGGTGTTCCGAGCCGAAATTCCCTCGCATACCTTCCTCCTTTTTATATCTCGATCGATATCGTGCGACTGTAAATAATCCCGGGATAGGTACCAGTGCCGGGCGCTTAAAGGAGCGCGTAAACGCTCTTGCAGCCGCATTTTCGTGCATCCAGGAATCCGTTGGACGGGCAATGATGCATCGGCTAGAGGATCGAGCAACTTACCGAGCTTGGTATGCGCGATCGGAAGCCAGAGAATTTTCGACGTCACCGGAATCGCGCAAAGAAAGAATCAGAGCGAAAGAATGCCCTGAGATAAGCATCCCGAAAGGTCCGATTTCGTGGAAAGCTCGAATCGGTTGGTATCGTGACGATCGCCCGACCGGCAAGGCGTACAAAATTATTCGAATAGAGGAGAGGGCTTGATTTCGGAAGCGTCATTAGTTATCTGGACGGTGGACGGTGCCTCATTTACAACTCTGTTAATTTCGTAAAAGAGCCGGAGTCGTGCCGTGGGGAAGCGGACGAAGAGGCAGGAGGAGAGATAATCGGCTTGCGCAAGTCGAAGAGGCGCTCGATCTCGGCCAGGGAAGATAAAAACGTGAAAAAATAAGGTCGGAGCGGAGGGAAAAGAGGAGCAGATCGGAGCGGAGACGAACGCTAGGCCTGGAATACCAACGCCGACGCCGAGCGTGCGCCTCTTTCCAATGACATCACTACGCTCGGTGACCGAGTTCGTTTGATTTAAACGCGGGTTCGTCGTGTAGGTTGCCGCTTGAAATATCACGTAACCCGCATGCTGCATCGCGAGATTATGCACGAATTATTGGTGCGTTGAAGCGTGTTCAGTAATGCGGATCCACCGTGAATCCTCTATCCAGTTCTCACGAGAACGCGACATCGCTGGACAAGATTTTTATAAAGTTCGTTAGTCACATAGAATACTTTATTGTTGAATAAACAAATGAAAGTTGCATGGTTTTCTTCTGCGTTCGTTTTTTATCAAGTAACCCCCTTTGGGGGCAGACGGCTAATTGTTTGAAAGATATTAATAATTACAGTTAGTTACTCCTTACATTCTGAAGTATGACAAACTCATACATACAACTCGTAATCTAGAGATCCACGGTTCAAATCCTTGGTTCCCAACATATATATATTTTTTTAATGATAATTTGTCTCCTTTTGAATAACTATTACATAAAAATTATCATA